ATTGCTCTAAGCATATAAAGTAATAACCCATGTAAAGAGCCTGATACGTAGGAAGCACTCAATAAACAGTAGTTACTTATATTAAAGGCTCAGATGAGTGGGCCTGTAATTTTACAGATGTAACTGATTAGGACCAGTTCAAAGGAAGGGGCAGCACCTATTTATATTTAAAAAGTAAGTCAATTTAAAGAAAAATATTAAGTCAATAACAGTGCAAGTGGTGGACAGCTAAGGCAAAATTCATGAAGCTGTTATGTGGACAACTGAAGTCTGGGAAACGGAGCTGAAAAGGAACTATATTGAATGGTAACTGGACTAGGTTCCTTCTAGCGCTAAAGGTTTATGACTTTGAGACCATTTTTCATGTTAATACCATTTGCTATCCCATACTTTGTCCAGGCACTGGGCTCAGTACCTTGCCTCCTTATCACAATTAATCCACGCAATATCTCTGAAAAGTAGATAGACTATCATTAGCTTCTTTTCCTTATTGCAGATGAAGAAATCAGAGACTCATAGAAGATACCTCATTTGCCTAGGGTTACACACTAGTATGGGAAGGAACCAGCCTTGAAACTGTTAGGGAGAGCCTCAGTTTACAAATTATGGTCTGTGTCTACTGTGTGGGATAACTGAGGAATTTTCTAGTTTAGTCTAATCAAGGGCTCATATTTAGATATTTGCTGATACACATGGATTTTCCCCGATAGGATTCTGTTGCTTTATAAACTACTACTTAGGTCAAAATTAGCTGGCTCTTTAAACCAGCCATGGGACCGGCTGACCTGAGGGCCAAGTGACTTCAAGGCAGATTTTCAATTAGCAGAGGAAGACATGGTGCTGTCAAGGCTTGACATCCAGACCAAGAGCCCCTTTCTGCTCTGGGTTATTTCTCAGGGAAGGCTGTTGGGAGATGGGCACATTCTACCAGCTGGCGGCTACACCAGTGACCTTTAATGCTAGTTTAGCTTGAATACATTTTGACCTCTCAAGCAAATTAATGTATTTTTACAAGGTGGGGCACCGACCACAAATTAGGCCAAATGGTTTCCCTGCAGGCTGGGCTAAGATTCTCCCACCACCCCCAAAAGAAATGTTTATTTCTCTCCACCTGGACAAATGCCAACAGCCCTCAGGGGTTTACCTTAGTCCCACCTCAGTAGCCTGTAATTCTGGGGTCTCTCTGCAACTAACAGATGCTAATTCTGACAGCCGGAATGAGGCAAAGACTCCAATCCGCATGTTACATTGTGTGTTATGGAAACGCCTTGGTATAAAGCACCAGTTCCTTGAAAAATTATGTGAAAAAGGGAGTATCTAACATGAGAAGCAGATAGAAGGAACTAACAACCTACGAGAGGTGAAAAGGTCCAGTTTCTGAAAAGACAGACCCTAGACTACCAAGTAGCCACACATCTTTCATCTGAGGCGTTTTCAGAGACAAATCAAATGGGAATTAAAGGGATTCTGTGTAGCTCATACAGAAAGTGTCTCAGAAGCACAGAGGCCACTTTAGTCACAGGAAACTGCCAGAGGGTGACTTATTTGATGGAACAGAAAACAAACAGACACAATAGCTGGTGTATTTTTGAGGCAATTTTAAACCTAATAAACATGACACCAATAGCGTTGACTTAAATCAGCTTGGGCCGAGTTGGAGAATTTAACAGCTCATCTTCCAACTACCAGCCTTTATCTCAGAGGCGGCCTTGACAGCAGAGAACAGAGTCCAAAACATGTCCTTCTCTGACTTCTGCCAGGTGTGTGCCGTCCCCGGCCTCTGCCCCGGCCTCAGCTCTCAGAGTGGGGATAATTAGAACGTCATTTCTGCCAGCTTTGTTTTTTCTGGGTCACTGACTTCAGACTTGATCAAAATACGAGTGTTGGACTGAAATCAATTGGTTTCCTCTTCCTCAGCCAGCCCCAGCTTATTTCCTGGGGGACTGTGCTCCAGAGGCCCAGCGCACACAGACAGCTTCTGTAGCAGCCCGATGGTGTGTACAGAGGTCCAGAGTGAGGGCTGTGGAGGGGTCCACAGCGCAGGCGCTCCATCTCCCTGCTCTCCCTCTCCGTGGCAGGGCGCTGACATGCAAGGGCCTCAGACAGACGTGCTGAGGAACACATCACAGCAAACTGCTCTGGGAGCTGTTAAGGCTGGTGTTTAATGTTTATCCATCAGCCTCAGTCTGAAAGGCTCTGTAGAACATGCATAACAGAAGCTCAGCTTTATACTCCATTAGCATTCAAATTCCTAGCTGTCCAGAGGCATATGGTACTGACCAGAGAAGGCCAGCCTATGTCGAGGCTGAGGGCATGTAGAGACAGGAGGACAGGTTGAGGCTGCTGGATGTCTGGGAGAGACACTCAGAGACAGGAGACAAAGAGACCGAAGTGGTACAAGAGGGGAGGTCAAAGACAACCTTTGTCTTCTTTATAACATCACCAGTCGCCCTCCATTAAGAGACAGAATTAGAGGGAAGGGCTTTATCTCAGACTGGCCTTTGTCCACTTCATTACTGAGTGGAAGGCCTCTTCCAACCCGGAAATAGTGGGCCTCAGAATGCGATGATAGCATATATCTTGTTTTCAGACTTTCGGATTCAATGAGAAAAACAAAGCTTTCCTCGGGCTTTCACTCAAGGCAAAAAGAATTGCAGCTACATCACTGTTACTATCTTGGCCAGGAATGGGGCAGACTCTTCTGCCTTTGCCTAGCCATAAGAGAAGAGAAATAAAGTACAGAATAAGTGAGTGGTGGAGTCGAGAGTGCACGTAACATAGTTCTCTGAGAAGTGCCCGGTGATAAATAGCAGCTGTCGAGGAGATGTCAGGGTAGGCATTGGGCTGACTCCTGTGTCGAGAAAGGAACTAGAGTAGATCCGTGTTTGCTTGGCCTGTGTGTCCCAGTGCCCAGCACAGCACTTGACACCAGCACGCCAGACACACACACACCCCAGTCCTTTTGCTTCTAACTCCTTAATGTGTCTCAAATCCATCTACTTCTCTCCATCCCCACTGTCGCCAACCTAATTCAGGCCACCATCATCCCTCACCTGGACCACTGCAGGAGCCTCTTAACTAGCAGCCTGTTTCCCATCTCACCTCCTCCTCCAATATGATCTCAACAGCAGAAAGGGTGATGCCTCTAGAACCCAAATATGATTATGTCACATCCCTACTTAAAGCCATCAGACTAAAACTGGACATGTACATCTCTCCATTACCTGGTGTATTAGTCTGCTGGGGCCACCACAACGAAACACCGCAGACCAGGTGGCTTTAACAAGAGAAAGTGATACTCTCATAGTTCTGGAGGCGGGAAGTTCAAGATCAAGGTGTCGGCAGGTCTGGCTTCTCCTGAGATCTCTCTCCTTGGCTTGCAGACGCCCATCCTCTTACTGTGTCCTCACATGGGCTTTTCTCTGTGCATACACATTCCTGGTATTTCCTCCTTCTTATAAGGACCTGAGAGCCCCACCCTTATGACCTCATTTAACCTTTATTACCTCTGTCAAGTCCTCATCTCCAAATACAGTCACATTAGAGGTTAGACTTCAGCATATGAATTTAGGGGGGCACAATTCAGTCCTGATACCTAGCCACTGTCTACCTCCTGATTCTCACCGATCACCTCTCCATCACTCAGCCTGTATTAGCCTTACTGGATTGTTTGTAGTACCTGGATGGGCCATACTGTCTCTAATCTCTGAACGTTTACCCATGCTGCTCCCTCTCCCTGGATTGCCCTCAACTCTGCTGCCTGCCATTTCCACCCCATTCCTCTCCTACTGGTCATTGCAGACCCTATTTAGGTACCACCTTCTCTGGAAATACCCTGCCTCCTGACTCCTAGTCTGGGTAAAGAGCTCTCACGTCCTCTCTGCTGCCTCCTTCTCATGACATGGAGAGTAATTGCCTGATGGCTCTCCAAGTGTTCTTGTAGACCATGAGGCATTTGAAGACAGAAGCTGTGTCATTTTGGAGATCTTTTGAATGCCCAAAGCCTAGCACAAGGCTTAGCACAGAGAAGGTGCTCAGCAAACATCCAATGAAAGAACAAACCAACCTGTTTCTTTGCTGAGGAAAGAAGGATGTGGAGTGAACCAGGTCAAGCCACATGAGCAGTGCATTACAACTTAGGATTCCAAATCCCCAGCTGATGAACTGTACCTGAGTACTCCATAAGACAGATGCTAGGGGCTTCCCTGGTGGCACAGTGGTTGAGAGTCCGCCTGCCGATGCAGGGGACACGGGTCTGTGCCCCGGTCCGGGAGGATCCCACATGCCGCGGAGCGGCTGGGCCCGTGAGCCATGGCCGCTGAGCCTGCGCGTCCGGAGCCTGTGCTCCGCAACGGGAGAGGCCACAGCAGTGAGAGGCCCGCGTACCACAAAAAAAAAAAAAAAAAAAAAAGACAGATGCTAGGTCTGTGCCAAGGAAAGGTCCTGTCCCCAAAGGTTGCTGATAGAGTAAAATCGGGTTTCTCTAGCACTCTGTTGTCCAGATGCCTCTATGACTTTGCTGTTCCATGCATCTACAGAGCAGTGAGAGAGATTTGCATCTCATAGTGCCACAGAAGCCCTAGAGCAGTGGTCCTCAGACTTTATTGTGCTTCAGAATCACGTGGAGGACTTGTTAAAACATGGCTGGCTGGGCTCCAACTCCAGAGTTTCTGATTCAATAAGTCTAGGTTGGGGCCTGAGGATTTGCATTTCTAACTGGGTCTCAGGTGATGCTCTTGCTGCTGCTCCAGAGACCACACTCTGAGAAGGATCCTTCTGGAATTATAGCAGAAAATAATTCACATTTTGTTGGAAATGGCATAAATGGTAAATGTGTTTACCAGAGCACTTAATCAACTGTCCTTCCAAACTCTGCCGGATAACACCAACATTGCTGAAATTCATGAGACGGGGAACCAATAAACCAATTTTTCTTTCAAGCTAAAACGGCCCCGGAAAGATATTGTAACCTAATGGTGTGCGTTCTGTTCTTTTTGCAGGTGCGGTTAGAGTGGCCAACAGACCTTGCAGTCAATCCCTTGGACAATTCATTGTATGTCTTGGATAACAACATTGTGCTTCAAATTTCTGAGAACAGGCGAGTGCGGATCATTGCAGGGCGCCCCATTCACTGCCAGGTGCCAGGCATCGATCATTTCTTGGTCAGCAAGGTAGCAATTCACTCCACTCTGGAGTCGGCAAGGGCCATCAGCGTCTCCCACAGCGGGCTGCTCTTCATAGCTGAAACAGACGAGAGGAAAGTAAACCGCATTCAGCAAGTTACCACCAATGGGGAGATCTCCATCATGGCTGGTGCCCCCACTGACTGTGACTGCAAAATTGATCCCAACTGTGACTGCTTTTCAGGTATGACCTTTTTAGCAATTCAGCAGCTCCCCCTCTCTGTTTTCAAAAGAAAAACGTGCATCAGAAAAGTCAAAAAAAAGAACAGAAGTATTACTTGTAAACATTGGTGTGCGGCACTGGAGAAAGCAATGGATTGGGGGTCAGACAGCTTAGTATCTTGTCCTTGTTCTGCAACGACTCACTGAGTGACCCTAGGAAAGCCATAAAACCCCTTCATGACTCACTTCATCTGCTAAGTAGAGAGACCACGTGTCTCAGTTATATCACCTTGCTGTTTTGAAGATAAACTAGTATAATAAAAGTTCTGGTACTCTTAAGAAGTTAAGACCACTCTACAAATGTAAGATCATGATATTATTTGTACTTTGGAGAAAGGGAAGCTAGGTAAAACCTACATTAACTGATTTAGCTAAGGAAAAAATTACTTCCAATAAGTGACTGGTTTCCAGATTAACAATGTGTGCTATTTGAGACCCAAAGGGACTAGAAGCAGACTGCTTTCAGGATACAAGGGCAAAATTAAATCTCACAATGGAGGGTTCTCAGGACATCAGTCTGCTACTTACGTTGTTTTTTTTTTTTTCCATCCAAAATTTTCTCCATAACCAATAGTGCCCTTTACTTCCAATTGAAATAGGGGGGAAAAAAAGAACCTTTTCTCCAAAACACGGAGTGGATATTCCAGACAGTAAACAGTCCTGTAAATGTCAATAGATGCATTTACTGCTGGTACGTGGACATCCCTCCATGCTGCATGCAGCCCTATTAAACTGCTCATCCACGCCCAAATGGTTCTTTTAACCTTTGCCTTTCCTTGGGACAGAGGAATCAAGAGTGAGCAACTTGGTCAATATGACTTTTGATTGATATTTCCAATGTTTTCCTAGACAACTAGTTTTATAGTTATTTTGCTAATTGATATCTTTCTTTCAAGGCAAAACTGGAATGTTTATTCCAGTTATCAAATTTGATGTTCTGAATCATTGTCGCACTTGCAGACTTAGTGTACTTTGACAATATGGCAATGAAAGTTAACAGAAGCAAGGTGTCTGGGCACAGTAGGACTGGAAAGCCCTGAGATAGATGCTATGAGCATGGACAGGCGTAAGTCTCTGGCTAGATTTGGGGTGGCTGTCATCATTTGCTGTTTTTGTATCTTTAGATACAGAAGAGCAGGATTGACGATTTCACAAAATTGGTGTTAACTGAGAGAACTGCATCTCACTGTTCCTCTTTAGTGGCACTGACTCAAGAATTGTGAATAATGAGTTTCAAATATCCAGCTGGGGCATGTGGAGAATGTTGGTTCACTGACTGTTCCCTTTAAAATGATGCTTGATGCACAGCGATTTCTGTATATGGTATGTTTGTATAAGTGCTTGTGACCACAACTACTAACATCAGGGTCTTTCTCCCACAGGTGATGGTGGCTATGCCAAAGATGCAAAGATGAAAGCCCCTTCCTCCTTAGCAGTGTCACCTGATGGTACCCTCTACGTGGCAGACCTTGGGAATGTTCGAATTCGTACCATTAGCAGGAACCAAGCCCACTTGAATGACATGAACCTTTATGAGATTGCATCACCTGCTGATCAGGAACTGTACCAGTTCACTGTCAATGGAACCCACCTGCACACCTTGAACTTGATAACGAGGGACTATGTATATAATTTCACCTACAATGCCGAAGGCGACTTGGGTGCGATTACCAGCAACAACGGCAATTCTGTGCACATTCGCCGAGACGCAAGCGGGATGCCCCTTTGGCTTGTGGTGCCTGGCGGGCAGGTGTACTGGCTGACCATAAGCAGCAACGGAGTCCTGAAAAGAGTGTCAGCCCAAGGCTACAATCTGGCCTTGATGACCTATCCAGGAAACACGGGGCTTCTGGCTACCAAAAGTAACGAAAATGGATGGACAACCGTTTATGAGTAAGTTTCTAAATCTCAACGTGGGCTTTGTTAGGTTTGTATTTGCAATTGTATTACAGTGGGAAAATGACTTAGTAATTGCTGAGTGTTGCATGCTATTTTCTCCTAACAGCCACAATAAAAAAAGAAATAAGTCAAGGAGAAAATTTTACCCAACTCCTAGGCTTCGAACCCATTTCTCCAGAGCACTTTTGCAGAGCATAATAATAAAAACATAGGCTGAATGAAGAATCAAGCGTGGCGCTGCACGAGACAAGAATGAGGCGGAAGTCCGTGTGCTCGAGAAATTTACAGCGTAGCTGGGAAAACAAGGGAAAATTTCACTTAAATGACAAAACTAGAAAATAGTTCTAAAGTAGCAAAGAAGCAGTGTAGTTTAACTAGTATTTATTGATCCCTGTGGGGTTTAATGAACGAATGAATGTGTGCGCAGCCCAGCCCAGCCCAACTCAGTTTAAGTTGTGAAATGACGTGGGGCAAATGCTGAAACAGGAGAAGCTGCACTCCACTGGCTGCTTCTGGGAAATGTGCAGTCAAAAGCTTCAGTACAGGCCTGCGCCCTCCCCCCAGTTTCCCTGCACGAGGCAAAGACTCCAATACATTTGGGTATTCACAGACCAGATCTGTGATAACTTTGTTTAACTGGGAATTAACAGAAGGTGTGTCTGACAGCAGGCTACTAGGAGGTGTCCTGTCATGGACATAGAGACCATCGTCCTTGCCTTTTAAGGCTGGACGTTATTTGCAAGTCAACCCATTTAGAAAGCTAGTTTGCCAGCGCTCGGCAAGCATCTTCCCCACGAAGGGAATTGCTGAATTTTTAACCAGTTTACCAAGTGAAGATAACGCATGGAACTGAACCCAGAGCCTGGAATGGCATTCAAGTTGAGGAACGTGAGAAGCGGAGATACTAAATACGAGATGTTCCAGGTGTGACTCTTCCGTGAGAATGTAGGGAATATGAAGAGAATAGATCCCACGAAACCCTCCCGAGGAAAGGGACAAAACAGTTGGCCTTCAAGTTTTGGATCATTTCCCAAAGAAATGCCACTTATACAAAAGAGCTGGACAGCTATTTTAGTTTCACTGAGAAAAATGTATTCAGTTTCTGTTGCAGGTCTTCCTCTATTTCTGGAAAAATTTCTCTTACATCTTAATAAAAGTAATAAAAGCTACTGTTCACTGAGGGTTTACTATGTGCTAGGTCCTAGGGTAGGTGATTTACATAAAGTATTTTGTTTGATCTCCAAAATAACGACATGGGATACGTGCCCCTGGTTTGCCTATTTTATGGATGAGGAAACTGAGGCCCAGCGTGGTGAGCTTGTCCTGATTCACACAGATGTCCAGGATTCAAACTGCAACAGTCTGACTCAAGAGCCCACATTTTGAAATATACTACCCTTAAGAAAGATAAAAGTTCTAATGAGAATATCTTTTTTCAAAAATTCACGCAAGATCACACTACAGCTGAAATTAGGCAAATAACTTTTTTTTTCCTTTTTTCCGTACGCGGGCCTCTCACTGTTGTGGCCTCTCCCGTTGTGGAGCACAGGCTCCGGACGCGCAGGCTCAGCGGCCACGGTTCTCGGGCCCAGCCGCTCCGCGGCATGTGGGATCTTCCCGGACCGGGGCCCGAACCCGCGTCCCGTGCATCGGCAGGCGGACTCTCAAGCACTGCGCCACCAGGGAAGCCCGACAAACAACTATTTTGAAAGCTAATGGTTAAATTCAGTTAAGCAACAAGAAATGGCAGAATTATTAACTAGTTTTCAAAATAACCAGTTCAACCGTTCACTTATTTACCAATCATCACATTGTACGCTTGAAATACATGCAATTTTATTTGTCAGTTATACCTCAATAAAACTAGAGAAAAAAACCCCACAAAATAACCGTTTAACCATTCATTTATTTATTCAACAAATATTTGCTAAGCAGCTAGTAGTATACGCCTGGCAGTGTTCTGGTGCTGGGGATATAGCCGTGAACAAGACAGATACAAATCCCTACCTTCATAGCGCTTACACTGTACTGGAGAGAGACAAGTAAAATGCACAGAACTTCAGATGGTGATAAGCTCTGCGGAGGAAATAAAGCAGGGTCAGGGGGAATCAAGATTTGGGGGCAGAAGGGGTTTTTATTTCAGGCTGCGTGGTCAGGGAAGGCCTCACTCAGAAGGTGACATTTGAGTAAAGGCCTGTAGGAGGTGAGGGAGTGAGTCGTGTGGGTATCTGGCGGGGAGGAAGGGGGAAAACATTGCAAGCAGAGTGAACAGCAAGTGCAAAGGCCCTGCAGCAGGAACAAATCTGACATGTTCAAGGAACAGTAAGGCAGCCACTGTGACTGGAGTGGAGTGCACAATCATAGTAGGGAGACAAAATCAACGAAGTGGCCAGGGCCACTTCACATAGGGCTTTGCAGGCCTGTGTAAAGACTTTTTGACTCTGAGTAAAAGGTGAGACCGCTGGAGGGCTTCAAGTAAAGGAGTGACAGAATCTGCCTTACTTTTTTAAAGAATCACTCTGTACTGAAAACAGACTGTATGGTGGAAGTAGAGGAACCTAATGGAGGGAGGGGGCTATCGCAATAATCCAGGCAAAATGGTGACTTAGACCAGGGAGTGAGGGCAGTAAGTGATAATATTCTAAATATATTTTGACAATAGAGCTGTCAGGACTGACAGATGGGATGTGGGGTATGAGAAAAAAAAAAGGGTCAGAAATAACTCCAATGTTTTTGGCCTGAGCAAGTGCGTGTTGGACTTTCCATTTACCAGGATGGGGAAGACCAGGCAAGGAGTACATGATACTGGGTGGGAGTTCAGGGTTGGATATGATCGCTTTAGACATCCAAGGGAAAATATCAAGTTGGCAATTGGATTCATGAGTCTGGAATTGAGGGGAGAGGCTGGAGATGTGAAATTTGGAGATCCAAATTTAGCGTCCACCAGTGTCTTGATTGTGTTTAAAGCCACGAGATCTTCATGGAAAAGTGAGTGTAGTCAAGGAAGAAAAGAGATCTGATGACGGAACCTAGAGCACCCCAACGTTGAGTTGAAGGTATGAAGAGGAACCAGCAAAAGAGACTGAGAAAGAAAGTCCAGTGAAGTAGGAAGAAAACCAGGAGAGTGGGATGTCCTGGAAGCGAAGTAAAACAAGTGACGCAAGGAAGAAGGCGTGATCAGCCATGACACTCCTGATAAGTCAAGTAAGATGAGCACGGAGAATGACCGTTCCATCCAACACTGTGGAGATCATTGTTTACCTTCACAAGAACAGGTGCTGTGGGCACTGGGGGACAGAAGCTTTAGCAGAGGAGGTTTAAGAGATAATGGATACACACATGTTCATAGCAGTGTTATTCATAATAGCCAAGAAGTGTAGAGAAACGTGTCCATCCAGTCATGAATAACCGAACGAAATGTGGTATATCCATACAATGCGATATTATTCATCCATGAAAAGGAATGAAGTTCTGGTACGTGCTACAGCATGGATGAACCTCAGAGACATTATGCTAACTGAAAGAAGCCAGACACAAAAGGACAGATATTATATAGTTGCGTTTATATGAGATATCCAGAAAAGGCGAATTCATAGAGACAAAGTATAACAGATTAGCAGTTGCCAAGAACTAGGGAGAGGAGTGAATGGGGAGTGACTGCCAGTGAGTACGGGGTTTATTTTGGGGGTGATGGAAATGTTCTAGAAATGGTGCTGATGGCTGCACGCGTTGTGAATGTACCGAAAGCCGCTGAATTGTGCACTTTTAAATGGTGACTTTTATGCTATGTTAACTATATTTCAGTAATAATCATCATAATAATAAAGAGAGCAACTGGGAGGAGTGTTTGGGGACAGCGAGTGAAGAGCTCTTCTGAAGCGCGCTGCCGGCGCGAGAAGCAGGGAAATGGGGCAGAGGGGGGCAGAGTAATCAGAAGGAGGTTTCTAAAATGAAAGGAATAATGGTACATTTGTGTGCTGACGAAAATAATCCAATACAGAGGGGAAAACTGATGATGTCAGATAGGGAGCAGAATGTTGTAGTCGGATAGTTTGTGGTCCCGGCGGATACTTACAGCAAGCGGAGCCCAGGCCTGTTACCAGGACTCGGCTGGCAGCGAGAAAAAGGTAGCATCTAACATCATTGTTTTTGGGTAACCAGTCTTGAGGCATTAAGAGATGAGGAACACAGGCATTCACGCGGGGGTAATCATGGAATTTTATGGCCACAAGGAGACATCAGAGGTCCCTTTACAAATAAGGAAATGGAGGCCTAGAGTAGGGGACTAATTTGCCCATTCATGTTGCTGGTTGGCTGGGTCCAGTGTCGGGTCTTTGAGCTTCTGGCCCGCTGCACTTTCCACTACTACCCCCACTGCCTTCCGGATTTGGGATTACAGGAGTGGCCGTGGGAAGTCTGGGGAGCTGGAAGATTTCTGCTGCAGTAGCAGGACAAGAGGAGTGTGAGAGCGCCATGAAAGAGAAAGGGAGGCTGAATATCCGTTTCATCCTTCTGCCACCTTCTCAACTCCAGCCAGTGTTATGCGGAAACCCTCTGCGGAGAGAAGGTTCCTCTTCCTCCTGAAGCAGCGCGTTCTGTCCCCAGCGGAATGCTGTCCCTGTCGGTTCCTGCCTGTACATATGGGAATGAGCAGCTCCCCGACCTTCAAAATGAAACTAATCCTTCCCGGTCTACTCTGTACAAACTCTGGCTTCTTTCACTTTTATCCTCCAGCGCTTTAGCCGGTTCTGAGCACTCCTTCGAGGTTTTCCTTCTCCTGAAGCCAGGGAGCACCGAATCGGACCTACTCTTCCAGTCAGGGTTACAGCCATGCTGAGGTCAGTAGAAGGCGGCCTTGGGCCACTGTTACCAGGCCCTCCTAAAAGAACTTGAGCGTTGCTCAGAGGTGAGAGAGAGGCTGCCTTCTTTGGCCAAAAGGTGACAAATCCTTTGCTGAGGTGGACATCAGATTTCTGTTCTGAGACGAGAAACAG